TAATCAACGGGTCGTGAACATTTTTCTAATCAATTTATAATTTTTTTTGAAACACGTTGCACTACGTGTCGTATATATATGTGTTGAATATTGAAATTCCGTGAATGAAAGAGCCGTGAAGTTTAATCGCGTTTCGGTTTCAGTCTGTGGATTTCCGAATATCCGAAGCCAAAATAGGACGACAACGCATCTTGTTTAGATGCTACAGGCTGGGGTATTTCACCTACCACCGATGGAACCCATACTTGTATGTCCTCTTTTATTAAAAGAAAGGACTACACGCAGGAAATGGACTTATAGGGTTTATATAAACACAATGCAATAAGTAAAATTTTCAGCGTTATAAACCGTTAATATTGTTTTGTACAATATGTATCACTCACGTAAACTACAGTCAAGTCTACATTTTACAATCTGTGTAAATTATAGATGATACAATTACAAATTATTGGTTCAGTTTGCGTTCACGAATTTGTTATATTACACAAAATTGTTCGATGTGTGTTTGGGTACAATGTAAAGCGAATATTGATCTAGCAATAAATTTAGGAAGATTATTAGACGCACCATGTCTGTAATAAAATTTCGTAAAGTCTAGATATTTCATCAAAACTTATCTATAATCAAAATCCTATCACTAAAATGTGTGTGTATCACGGGTCTCTTGGCAGAAGAAAATCGCGCAATGTAACGCGTTACGTCACGTTTCGTCCTTCAAATAATTGTAGTACATCTATTGGTGTCCAAAATACCTTCTTTCTTATACACTTAACTAGTCTATTTACCAATGTTGATAACGGATTTAAAAATGTGTCCGCTCCGTTGCCTACGTACGCGATGCAAACGAATTAAAGAAAACTATAAAAATCGAAACCAGATTAAAGATTAATAAAAAAGAAAACACAATAAATATTTATTTAACTCATTAAAACTTTAATTTAATTAAAACTCATTAAAAAATACTTAAAATTATGGAGAGTAACGGAGATGTATTTACCATACCCTCATATCATCCAAGCCAGATATATATTTTTTCTATGACAGAGGAGGACAGGCACTTGTTGGTTGATTAAATCCCCCCCCCCACCCCCCCAGCCATATAACATCAAAACTAGATGCCCTGTCGTCCTATTTGGGCTTGGAATATCCACAGTTTTGTCATTGTATATTTCCAATTGACCTTTATTGACGGTAATTGGTGGTAAAATTGTATCGTTTAATAACAGTTCGACAGGTAAACAGATTTTGAGCTTTTATGTAGGGCAATATTTCTCCGCTAGATTTAGTTTTATGCAAGAGGGCCGATTCTTTAACACTAGATATGTTTATTGTGTGATTAAATATCTCTCGTGTGATATCGAGTTTGATTCTTGGGGCTAGAGTGTTTTTGTATTTATAAGAAGATTCTGATGAAAATCAATTTTAGTGCACTTGTTTAATTGTACAAAATAAATCATCAAACTTTTGTTAAACTCGGCGTTTTTAATAAATTAATAATATCTTAACATTACACTGACATAAAGTTTGTTAAAGATTTAACTAAAGTGAAGAAGTATTTCTCTGTTTACACAAGTAGTACTCATTTAAATAAAACGGATTAAAACGGGAAATATATAAATTAAACTTATTTCAACTACAGCCCGACGCTTCGGATGCTTTGCAGCAGGAGGCAACAATATACAATTCTTGTTGGTTCTTTCTAATTCTACACTGTTTTTTTATTTCTTCTCCTTAGAAAAATACTGCAGGGCTCAGCTACAGTCAAATCTTTGAAACGAGTTAATGAATCGTTGTTACGTTTCCGAAATCCTCTCAGAAAAAACACGGTACGGGACATAGCATCGTCTTGTGTAATTATTTTAAAATCATGTCTGTTAATATACAACTAAATATAGTTAAGTACTAACAACAGTAAAAAAATATCAAAGTTATTATAGAATAAATGTAACATTCATAAGAATTGCTCTCAACGTGACAAAGCAGTAATTGTATAGCACGATTCTGTTCCAGTTAAATATGATCACTTCATTTGATGTTACGACACTATCTTTATTATAATGGACAAGTGGAATATTAATAAGTCCCTTTCGAAGTAATTTGAGATGATGGCGAATTTATATGCCGTTTTCGGTTTATGCAACCTCTTAGGCATCTTATTGAGGCATTATGGTCTTTGTTTCGCAAGGAATATTCGGAAATCCATAGGCTGAAACCGAAACGCGGTTAAACGTACACCTGGACCTGTTGATTATTAGCTATAGCTGGTTTGATCTATAATAATATATCCCAAGAAGTAGTGTCAAGCGGTGGTCCCAAGATAGAACACCTCTTGGAGCATCCTAAACACCCCCATGTATGTTCTGCGATTATTTATAGTTTTCGAGTTACGAATTTTTTTCTAAAATTTTGAGAATTTTTGACCTAAACAACTTAAACGTTAATTTAAAAAAGGTGATAAGACGAAAATACTGTCTATAGTTTACGCGAGTAGTACACATTTAAATAAAACACTTTAACGTTTCGGATGCTTTGCAGCAGCCGTGGTCACGGGGAAACGCCGGGCCGAAGTTAAAAATCATTTTCAAATAAGTTTTACTAATATATCGCGTTTTAAACCGTTAAAGTGTTTTATTTAAAGGTGATAAGACTTTTTCACAGCTCAACAAGCATGAGTTGTACATTAATAATTAAAACATTTGTCTTCGCAACCTTAACGGATGTTAAAAATATGATGGTTCAAAGTGAAAAAGTTACGAGCCGTGAATTGCGTTTTAAAATTTTAACTTTATATTTAAAATATTAATAGGTAGCTTTGTAACTCATAAGTAAGTTTAAAAACTGCGCCAGACTCTCAGCTTTAATGATCATTAAAAAAAAAGGACTACATAATACGCTACTTTGCTAATACCGGACCTCAAAGACAGATAAGCGTAAAAATGTAATAAATAGCCATTTGGCAACGAGATTGTTTTTTTTGCATTCTTTACGTTAATTTTTAAAATTATCCATATGATTTGGAACCTTTTTAAACATTTTATTATTTCTGAAGACGATTCGATTGTTAAGTAAAAAACAATAGCACAGCCAGATGCAAGGGGTGAGGCGGGGGCAATGTGCGTATAGTATTGACCGTATAGTAATGACCCGATTAGTATAATAAATATAGTCGTAATACATTTTTTCGTAAGGTATTTTTACATGTTTAAAAGTATATAAAATTCAAATAAATAATAAACAGTCAAATCAGTGATTAGTATGAAGTCAGCTCGTTGAGCTTTGACCCCAAATGGAGTAGTGGATTGCGCCTGTCAATATAACGTTGTAATGATTAATTATTACGCTAGGTTGGCCTAATAGTTTTAGGACCTTTGCCTTCGTAACTTTTTTATGGGGGAATGTTAATTTCGATATGTTGAAAATATGAATAGAGAGTAATATAATTTTATGTACACATTAAAAAAAAACACTTTCACAGTTTAAAACGCGATATATATTAGTTAAACTTATTTGAAAATTATTTTAACTACGGTCCGATGTTTCGCCCGCTGTTGAAGTGTTTTTATTTAAATGTGTACTACTAAACTACACGCAATCATTCACATTTATATACATGTTTATACTAAAATAAAATAGTACAGACAAACAAATATGACAGCTACATTTATATGTACAGACAAACTATGGTTTGGTATTTAGTTTGTAGTTAAGACGAATGGTACACATTTAAATGAAACCTTCTTAACGGCTTATAACGCAAAATATATTCTTTAACTTATTTTTAATAAAACAGTCTCCCTAAACTTAAGTCCCCTCCGTGACCACAGCTGCTGTAAATATGGAAAACTATAGGCTGTAGTTAAAATATGTATACATATTTCACATTTGAAACCGTCAAGTCTTTTATTCTACCAGATGCGTTAACTAAAGATGCATATTTTGTCTGTACTCTGTATAGGTACATATAAACTGAATGTGACTATCGTGTCTGTTTGTCTGTCCGTTAATATACGCTATTTTCCAAATGTATTGCGTGTTACATCTGTAGAGTAAGCCCATTTTATCAAAAAACAAAGTCGCAGTGATTTAAAAGTAAAAAAAAATATTATTAATATGTATTATTTTTACATGATAAATATACTATTAAAAGCACACTCTGGGTTTTAAACGGTTTTTATAAGAAGCAATTAATAATCGTCATATTACATCTTACTACTTAACCGCCATTTTGTAGAGAGAATAGACAAGCTTCCAAAGAGGCTAGACATAGACCACCACAGACCTTATTAAGCTTTTTTGTTGTTCATGAATCCACATCTAAAATATACTTTGGGGGAAAATGTAGTTGCGAAACAGACACATTTCTGTATCCGTTTCATTAAGGGGCGTGTGAGGAATATAAAATGAAAATCCACAAATATGTTCATATGAATTTATTGAATCACAGTCCTACATAAGTATTTGGATCACATTTAAACAAACGTTTATTTTTATCGTTAAATACAACAAAGTATATAATAGATGATTGTTTGGGCGTCTTCACACAAGCCTCTTCACGGACCAGCCGTTTTTATAATACTTTAAAATTCATTTTTCTATTGTTAATACGTACGTTTAATACATTTTATATTATCTGTGCACAAATTTATTGAAATTTTACAATCTTCCTTTTTATTATCTATATATAATAGTTTACTAAATCATTGGTGTTGATAGTATCTAAAGAATTGTATGTTGCAAAGCTACTTGCGTTTTCGACCTTTTCGACCGTCGTAATTGAGATTTTGTACTCCATACCCTTTTTTAAATTATGGCGACTAAACAGCTCGAAAGCCCAAGTATTAGATCAAAACCTTCTTTGGCCTTGCAAATTAACAATTGATTTTTAATACTACAGCGAATAGCTTCTTTTCAACAATACATTTTCGTGTGAAGAGCCCTTACAATTAACAGGAACATTCGTTAAGTAATTTGTGTCACTATTTGCTAGTGTGTTTGTCTATCTAACCGTCTGTATCGTTGGGCTGAAACAAAAAACAATAAACGGTTAACGCTACATAATACTTTAAGAGGATTCGTTTTCGAGGATGTGTGAGCTCAATTACCTCGCAAAAGTGAAACTAATTGTGATGATAATTTGTAACTTGTATATTTTTACTGTTTAACATTCGCTGTAAGAGGCCTTAGGGTGCCAAGTTACAAAACGAAGCAGGAAATTAATATTATTCTACATTATTAAAATACTATAGACTACTTGCCAAAATATAAATATTTCTTTATTACAGACGAGGCATAGCGTTTACGAAGGGATTTGGGGAACTATATTAATTAAGATAATAGACTGTTTTGGACGTTAGATAATCCATAAAATTAAACTATAGAATAATTTAGATATTCCTACCACTTAAATAATGTACACATTTTTCACACACTTTGTCTAAAAGGTTGAGATTGAATATAATGTTCTGGACTCAATGGGAATCGAACCCACGGCCCTTTGATTATTTAGGATTAATCGATGTTGGAATACATACCCGAGCCGGATAGACGAAAGTGTTAGCTTCAGCTGAGCCGAAGAGGTTCGTGGCCCGACACGAGAATTCGCCCATGTCACTCCAGCGAAGACTGGATATTACTAGCTCGCCGGAACGTAACACCTGAAAAACAAATAAATATATTATTTTAAAAAAAATAGGAATAAGCCTTTACGTTACAAGAGGTCCCTGATCAGTGTAATTTAAATAACAATAAATAAACATCTTGTAGTATATGATAATTAAATCAATATTGTAGGCCATGAAAAACACATTATTTTTTCCAACAAAAAAAACGGTTCAGAAATGAAGAAGATATGTCCAAATAAACATAAAAATCAGCCGTTATATCCGTTAAATTTATTTTAACTAAACGATCCTAATATTTATATTGCTATAATAGATAAAATAAAAAAAAATTGGTATCACATTAAGAAATAAGCCAAGTAATATTTGAAAATGTCCACCGTCCATTTATTTCTTTATAATACCTATTTATTCATGGATTAGAAGTCTTTCATAAAACGCGAGGTTCATCGTTATTATTATAGTTAAAAATAATTGATGTTTTTATTTGAACTTTTATTTATGAACGAAAATGCATCCATCGACAATCTACACGTAACCATGTTATCTTTGAAATTAAGAAAATAGATATGGCATGTATGTATAACAGAGAAAGACAGAGTGGTGTAAAAAAACATCAATATTTACATGCAGTCGATTTTAACTTCGGATTCGACTTACCTTCATCCTAGGATCTTTCTTAACAGGGTTGCCACTATTGTCCTTCCAAGTGACTATAGGGCGGGGATGCCCCTTTACACGACAAGGAAGCACAATGTTGGACCCAATCACGTCCACGAACACCTTATATGAAACCAGGATCTTCGGCGCTAGAGGCACCAGCTTTGAGCGTTCAGTTAGCTCTGAAGTTATATCTGTAGAAGATATTTATTTATTTATTATTTATAAGGTATTCCTTCTGAATAGTACATACATGGCTAAAAAAAAATTTTAAAGGAAAATTATTTTAGCTACGGCCCAATGTTTGGACTACAAAGCAATTGCAAATTTGTTTAAGTTATACTATCGCGTTTAAAACCGTTAAGGTGTTTTATTTTAATGAGTACTACTCGCGTCAACTATAAACAATGTTTAGTTACAACACATGGCTTAAAAATACTTAAGACTAAATGAATTCCGATAAAGGATTACACAATTAAGAAAATATATGTTTGATTTTTAAAACTACAAATCAAGAAAACTAAATTTAACAAAAAGACAAATAATTAATTGAGAAGTAACGTGTTGAGTTTATTGTATGTTATTTACTTATTCTTGGATCGATATTCCTACAGCTTGGTAATACATATTATATATATGGTTTAAAATATCTAAAGCTAAGCAAAATTATCTCATAGAGATCGTAATACAGAATTTTTAATGAGGACTAGGAAATAAAAAAAGGCTTCTGTACTAATACGTGTTACTGTGATGACAGATCCAGGATTGGTACCCGGGAAAACGCGATTTAGCATTTATTAGGTAGAGACTCACCTCTCATCCCCACTAACCGTTATCCTTTCATATTAACCGTTACTAGTTTGGTTATTGAAGTGCTGCCATCTAGCATCAAGTAGTGAAACTAGTACGAAATTTTACAGCGACTCAATGACAACAAATTGTCTGTTTAAATAAAACACTTTAACGGTTTAAAACGCGATATATATTCGTTAAACTTATTTGGCAGTTATTTTAACTACGGCCCGACGTTTTGAAACGTAGTTCAAGTGTTTTATTTAAATATGTGCTATTTGTGTACAAGACAGTACGAATTGTTTGTAAAATACCTGAACTATACACAATAGTTGAAGCCCTAGCAGTTTTCGAGCCAGCGACGATGAGGCAAGTGTATTCACAGGGTGCTTCGTTCCGGGACACGAGTAAAGTGGAGCTCACTCGGCCGAGAGATGAAGGATTGGTGTCTATTATTTCGTTTGATTCCTTGTCGTACTGGAATAATATAACAGATGTATGAGTGTCCATAAAATGTATCTTAAATAAGTATAAATAACATTTTAATACAATTTTTTTTCTTATTTTGGCTTCAAATATTTGGAAATCCACAGACTAAAGCCAAAACGCCATTACATCTAACGACTTTGTCATCGGCGGCTCGTCATCCGGATGTGTACTTTTATCTCAAAAGTGTTGCGAAAAATTAAATAATTCACATGTCAACAAAATCTATTTCTTCAATGATGACAAATCTTTAAATACATATTTGTCGTGCTTGTACTTAACCTCGGACCCACTTTAAGAAAATTTTTGTCTTAAATAACATTAGTACTTACTGACTGTTTAAATTCACCGCTTATTAAGATATAGTAAGGTTAGGTGAGTGTATATTATATAGTTTTGGTCATCTCCATGGTGGGGGATGGGGGTGGGGATCCTGAGCGTTTCCGCACTTTAAATACCTGTCTAGCTTTAATAAATCAATATGTAGAAACATTCAAATTAGTTACCTCGTATACAGGTGCGTTGTTCCTAAACCAGTGGACAGATGGCGCGGGCGCAGCGATTGCTTCGCATGTGAGTTCCAGCGTAGAGCCTGCGACGTGGGTGCTACGGGCCGCCGGGCGCTTCGTTATCGTGATGAATCTCTTCGTTTGTGGACTTGGTTTTACTGGAATTATGGTTTGTTAATAGAGGAGGACAGACAAGCCCGCGGTTCATACATTTCTATCAATATACCAACGAGCCCGTCAGTGGAGTATTCATCTCGAGATCGTCCCATGTGCGCGTGAGTTCGATCCCCGGTGGTGCACTAAAATGATGATTCTTTCTGATATGTTGAGGAAACCTTAACGTTCTAGGAATTTGATAGGTGTCAGCCAACGTATAGAACGCGTTTTTACACTCATAGATAAGAATTGCACTTCTTTCATGGTTCGTGGCCCGGACGGAATTTCGATATTCCTACCAAACATTTGTTATTATAAATTGATTAGAAACGACTATTTGCTGTATGGTATACATTTCCACTTCTCAACCAGCGACCGTTAATCTTCATGCTTCATGCTTCTTCTTCTTCTATCCTTATTTATAAAGATAATACTTACATTTAGATTCAATGTGATTGTCCATGTCTAATAGCTTCATGTGCCTGTTGACGTTGGAAGCGTGAGTTCCTAGTAACGCCACTGCAACGAATACTAGTACAGCGTACATTGTTTGAGATTCTTGAATGACTTAACTGAAAAAGAAACAAAGCTAAATTAAATAAAACACTTTTACGGTTTAAAACGCGATATATATTACTTATTTGAAAATTATTTAAACTACGGCCCGAAGTTTCGAATGATTTACTTCAGTTGTGTTCACGGGGAAATAATTTTAACTAATATGTATCGCGTTTTAAACCGTTGAAGTGTTTGATTTAAATGTGTACTACTCGTCTAAACAGACAGTATTTAACAAAGCTAAAATTTATTTTCAAATTTCTAAATTTTCTCTTGTACAATTATTATAATATAGTTCTTATTAAAGCTTCCAACATTATTGAAACACTTTTTAACGGTTTTAAACGCGACCTATATTAGTTAAGTATATAACAAGGAGTGACGTTTTGGATTCTCTTTGCGGTCTTGATGAACGTAAGTTTGTGATGGTCCTAATGTCAAGTCAAATTGGCGACGCTAGCGCCATCTGTTGGTGCTTGTTAAACCGTTTTCGGACTTTGGATCGATAATTTTAAGCCATTCTATTTACTAAAATTTAGATATTTGTTTCAAATCCTTCTTGCACCATATAAAAAAATAGTTTTCCCACCTAAAAAGAATAAAATTATCAAAGCATCGGCTAACCACATAGTAAGTGGCAAAGTAGTTCGTGAATTATGCACGTAAAAAGCGTTAGGCCGTTAAAGGAAGTTTCGCATAAGTTTCCGTATTCGAACCGGTTTATTTTTTGTGGCGAAATATTTTAAATTCCATAGCCCGATGACGTCACAAGGGTCCTTCTCGGAACGCGAAAACTGTTAAGGTCGTCGCACATTTGACTGACTCAATCTTTTTAAAATTAACATTAAAAATACACTGTTACTACCTACAACATAACCAAGAAACAAATCTTATCAATCGTTATAAGATTTTGGATATCACTACACAGCCCGGATAGCTCAGTCGGTAGAGCATTGGACTTTTAATCCAAGGGTCCAGGGTTCAAGTCCCTGTCCGGGCGAGAATTTTTTACGTATTATCTACCACAAGACTGAAATTAATAAAGTCTCTTCCTATCGTATATATTCCTTAATTACCAACATATTTTTTTATTTAATTTTTATTGTTGGTTAATCGTTTTATGTTCAAAATAATTCAATGTGCTCACACCTTTATTTCTTTGAGCAGAATTGGGTTACAATACAAAAGACTGGTGGCGCCTATTCATAGCTTTTTTTTGGCGCCATTTTTAACTCATTAAAGCTTATGCAATTCTTGTAATAGTTACGTAACAAGTTGTTAGATTTAAGGACTGTATATAATATCACAGACTACAACTCCAGGTGCATACCAGAAGTTACCTAGTTATTTGAGAAAAATGTGTAATTGACACAGGTGGGTTTGTGAACTGTACGAGATGAATATTCTAAAACGCATGTGATACGTTTGCTCAGCTGGTAGAGTAATGGAAATTTCCACCGGCCATCGTCGATTCGAGTCCCACCTGCGTTAGAAAGTTTCCAGTATTCCTATTTAAATGTTTGCTAGGCTGCCTGCGAACTAGCAAAGCATCTTTTTTACTCATTTTAATTTTTTTCTTAGAAAGATTATAATTTTTACACCTGATAATGAAAATAAAATGATGAGGAAATGAAGACTAAAGTCGGTTAGTGAAATGCAAGGTGAAATACTGTTAAAACCACTGACTACGTGACTCTCGTCTCGTCTGAATAAAGATACTAATTGGTTTAGTTCAATCTAGGTACATTTATCTCAGAAAAGATGGTATAGTCGAAAGATCAAACCTTATAATGTAACGCAGAAAACTAAACTTTGGTAAAGATATATTCGTTTTAACATTTACATACAGACAAACAAGTTAAAAGCTTGTTAAATGCCAAAAGAAATAGTAATTACGTAATAATAATTTCAATAAGTTTTAGACAAATGACAATTTTATATAACTTCATTAAAGTATATAGTTTAAAATCATGTTAAGTTAGTTAATAAATATTATAATTGTTTTTAATTATTAAACTCATATTATTCCTTTGGAAAAATTAAATTAATGACTGTTTGAAATAATATCTCCCGCATCGATCAATCACTTATTGATAACAAGGAAGTTTTATTTTCAATGCTTCAAGCACACGAGCTGACGTGCCGTTACGTTTTATTTGTCCGTTACGTTGAACGTGACGTTAAATTTGTATTTTAACATTTCATACATAATATTGTAAGTATGATGACGACAAATTGTATGTAATTAAGAATAACAAAGATTCAATACTTACAAAATACAATATCTTCAAGATTCGATAATTTTTTTACGCGCGAAAATTCAGCTTTGAAAGCACAGCAAAATAAATAAACTACACTAAATATCACAGATTAAACAACGGATCACAATTTAAGAAATGCCAGCTGTCAAATTTAAAAATCGAACACTTTTTTTAAGGCGCGCACACACGGGATCATCGCTCGGGACTAAATGGGTGGCAAATGTATTAGCTTCATTTATATAGTGGCTTCTTGAATACCAAATTAAAAACTGGACAAGTGTGTGTTTGCTTCGCGCAAAGGGTTCAGCGCGGATAGAAAAATCATACATCCATAGACATTTAATGTAGAATATATTGTGTAGTAATTTTATCATATTTTTATAATTATTTATAAAGTAATATATTAAAAGCTTTTTTTAGTATTTAAAGTCTAAATTTTTACAGCGGAAAGCTTTACAGGTGAGTATTGGAGTAAGTTACGCTTGTGTCGACTTTTCCTCATATGAGGAAAATATTAAGCTTAAACGTTAAGCTTTGGTAATTTAAGTAACGTGTCGTTAGATGGCGCTGATATTTTTTATAGTAGTTCTTAATATTAGTAACGTAACTAACTTATTAGATAATAGCGTTTGCATGTTACCTTTTAGGATATATATATTTATTGTTACATTTTAATAATAATGTCCTAATTGTAGATAAGACGTTTAACAATTTTTTTCACTGGCATTCGATTTTGATTTAATAAAACTTGCAAGTTGTGAAAATCACAGAAGGCTAGGGATGTACAGTTCTTTCGGAGATTAGCGTGCACATTAAAAAAAGGAAATTAAAACGTTTACTTAATTTTTGATAGTGTCGTTAATTGTACAGACAATCGATTTCTATCGCTTTATTGTAGTAACTAAATATTTTATATGTAGCAATGCTATTAACTGTAAAGAATCCACTTTATAATGAAAAATAATATATAAGAAATGGAAGAAGAGCTTTTTTATGATACGCGAGAATCTCAAGACGTAAAAATATGATTCCTTCAGATAATATGATAAGTCGCATGCGTACAGAGTGGATTTCGTGCGAATCTAGATAAAAATTTAAATAATGTATGCGGGTCAGTAAAGATGCGCAGACGAATTCATAAAAGGGACATCTCGTAAAGTAGCTACATTTTATTGTTTCGCAAACACTTTGTGACTTATTAAATCGCTAACTTTTACATATTACTCAGTCATTACGACAATCTTAAAAAAAATTACCTCTGAAATCTAGTTAATGATCAATATATTTGGTAAGTTATTTGGCTACCTATTATAGATTAACAAAAAATAGCTAACCTTGGCCACTTACATGCTATTAATAAAAAGTTCTCTATTTTAAGTTCTATATTTGAAACGTATCCTGTTTCTAGAAAATTCTAGCAATTCATTCGAATAAGCGGTACGTCAGAACGCCATATATCGTTCAAGGCGTTTACCCAAGGAATTGGTGAATATTACAAGCAAATGGAAGTAAGAACAAAAGAATCTGTTATTGTAATGTGAGGCCATATTCCAGATCTGTCTTCCTGTTGGAGCCCCACGGAACAAGGTCAAACAGAATAGATTCTGAAGAAATGAAAGCTATTCCATTCATAGAATAGTTGTTTATACAAAAAATGGTTTAAACAAGTAAGCACTTAGTAAAAAAACCGTATTTCATAGGGTGAACTAAATTTTATTTTTTGCTTTTTTGTTTACTGTTTGAAATCTTGTCTGACTTTTATAATATGATTTTACGTTGCGGGTAGACTATGCATATCAAATTCTTCATAGACATTACTCATCTAAATAATTAAATTCAATACAGTGTAGCTACTGTGATCTGTTGAAGGGTTCCCTAAGAGGTCCATCTTATTACCATTAAGTCGCTTCTTCTTCACCCTTCCTTAATCCATCCTGGTGTAAAGTTTTTAACAATACCACAAAAACAAGGTTTGGGTGTTCATTTGACTATCTCTCGGCTCCATCATCAGATTTAGACCAAACTTTTATTAAATTCTAGTGTTTTAATTTGCTTCATGAAAATATTTACTAGTCCCAATCGTACCCATACGATTTTTGAAAGTTTCCCCTCAATTTCTCTGACATTATCCACCCCGGTTTCCTTTTATAAACAACGAAGGTTTTCACAAAAAAATATGAAAAATATTGAGATGTTCCTTTTGTAAATAAAATTAAATAAAAAGATATTTATTCCCAGTATATTTTACACAAAAGTAACATCAATATGGTCAAAAAACATCGATATGTTGTATGGCTAAATAAGAAAACATGATATATATGATACACGCGCTTAAGTCAGTGTTTATAATCAATTTATTCACAGACAAATGAATCCTTAACTAGTATAAAAAGCTGACTGAAAATTGCATAGGGTATGTGATGAAAGTAAAAATAATGCTAATGGCATTTAAAAATTTCCAATAAAAGTCACGTTTTCTTTACACGTACGATTTTAATATCCGAAGTCACGTGGAGTCCGACGAATTGTGAAACGTGTCCTTTTCGAAGGATTGTTCAATGAAATTTATGTACTACTACCGTTTATATCTGTGGTAACCATTATTAGCGTAAAAAGTATTAGGTTTTTTCATGAATTTGCAGATTTTTTAGCTGGGAGAACCTCCGACGACAAGACCTTTTTCACTACTATTTCACTATGAAAGGACAAAAGACATCGAAAATTTTGT